AGAGAAGAACAGAGCCCTGTGTGAATGACCAAACTGTTTCATCTGGTCTGCTGAAAACCCTATACAAGTAAAAGCAGCAGAGATTAAGGCTTCTTTTGTTTGCGCTGCCGCATGGTCCACTCCAGGGACGCTGGGGCAATTTTCACCTTCTGCTGAAGAACTGAAACAGGATCACACATTAAAACCAGTAGACGTTATCCCAAAAGAATTGATTTCCTGAGTGTGGGGTTGGCACTGGTGAATTTCACACCTGCCCATTTCTGGGTTAGAGGAGAGACAAAGAGACATCTGCTCCGGCTCTATAATAAACGAGCTGTGTGTGATATTATTACATACATTTAGAGAGCAACCACCACCATGCTATCCCTGGATAGAGACAGCAAAGAACATTGTCTCAGCAGCAGGAATGCAAAGTAAAGCCCGTCCCTTAGAAAGAATAGAACCCTGATACCAGACATCTCTGTGTCCTTGGGGAATCAGGGTGCAGTATCCAGCCTGACGCATGAAAGACACCCTCCTCCCCGCCCCGCCTCTGCTTAAACCAAAACCCATCAGAGGAAGAAAACTTGCAGAGAGCAGTGAAGGGCATTGGGAGACACACCTAGACCCCTCCTGACAAGGGTGACAAGATTATGGCCTTGGCTACACTGGCAATTCACAGCGCTGCACTTGCTGCGCTCAGGGGTGTGAAAAAACACCCTCCCCCCCCCCCCGACGCAAAGCGAGTGCAGCGCTGTAAAGCGCCAGTGTAATCAGCGCCTGCAGCGCTGCACGCTCGCTCGCAGCGCTGCAAGCTATTCCCGTCGGAGAGGTGGAGTACTTGCAGGGCTGCGAGAGAGCTCTTGCAGTGCTGGCGGCGCGACTACACTCGGCAGCGCTGTGAATCCACGAATGTAGCCAAGGCCTAAGACGTCTCCATTAGCATACAGAATGGAGAGCAGAGACAACTTCCCTAGCCTCATCTGCATGAAAGATGGGACAGGGAGACATCTCACTTTACATACAGAATGGAGAACAGAGAACCGCACTGAACTCTGGGACCAGAAAAAGCAGGGAAGCACTGCATCCTGGGAATCTCTGATCCAGATGCTAATGAACCTATGTCTGCACACACCCAGCTCAGCAATTATCAGACCAATTCTAGTAATGAATCCTTAATTGATATCCAAATACTGAAGCAGCCTAGTTGTATTGTGAGCTCCCTGGAAGAAAACACCACCCATAGCCAAGAGTGATCAGCTCCTATTGTATAGTCTAAAGAAAACCCTTGAGTCATCAGTTAACCTATAAACAAATCTAGTGTTCTCCTTTGAACCATTGTATTTTCTCTACAAAAATCCCTACTCACCCTCTAGTCAGGGTTCTGATGCTTAGATCCAAACTAGGCATCAGTTCCACTAGAACTCCATCATCTCCTCACTGATCGTGCTGGGGACTCTGCCTGCCTCTTGCCCTCAGGACCCTCAGCTACCACCATCACCTGGGAACCCCGACCAGTTGAAGCTTCAGGGAGCAGTGAGACCCCCTTCTTTCTCTCTCTCTCTGTTTTCCTGTCTACCTTAGGTATTAGCCTTTAATCATGTATGTTATGTTGGTTTAGTCCTCCTTGTGTAGTTATCACTATTATTCAATAAATAACTTCTATGGTTAAGTTGGTTGCTTCTCTCTCTCTTGCTGAACTTTACTCGTTTGTGGTTTTAGCTTCCCCCATTCACTCTACAGCAATGCTTCTTTTACCTAAGCTAAAGATCTCTGCAGCGCCCAAAATACTGTAGGGTTTGCTCATCGAGTAGGTTACTGCCAGTACAATTGTGTTGGGGGAGTGGGGATAGGGACGTGCTGAATTTGGGACGCATCAGGGTAACAGCTTGAAAGTGCTGCTTGACCCAGTCCATGGAGCGCAGGGGCATATAAGGGGTCAGCTTGACAGTGCTGATTGACCCGGTCTGCTCAGACTTGCTCTGTTAATGTACGTGTGGGGGTGGGGGTGTTCATCCGGTTCTGGGGTGGGAGTAACCCAGCCCTAGGGACCCTAGATCTTGCAGGATAGCTCCATTGGGAGGGGACTTGCAGAAGGGAGAAGTAGAGCTCCATATGTAAACACAAGTGACACAAGCAGTACATGGACAGAATTACAGAACCACCTTCCCCAGAATAAATGAGCATACCCCAAAGTAATGGGCACATCTGGTAACAACCCAGGCTGTCAAAGGCCAAAGCTTTACCCAGCAAACCAGACACAGGTGTTCAAGTTGAGTTTTATTATAACAGAATGCAGCTAGTGTACAGTTCAACAGTCGACTAGGGTTATTTCTTTGAGAGAAATGCAAATCATGTTATTTACATCACAGATCTTTACCAAATCCATCACACGTAGCAAAGCTATATTCTGGAAGGAACAGTCTATACTCGCAGGGGGGATAGAAAGAAGGGGACTCAAATCTCTAATTTCTATGATTTAGAAAGCCAGGAATATGTTTTGAAAGCCCTCATGTGTGAAGACACTGGAAGAGATATTGCTAGCTGGAAGCCGAGCACGTGTCGATGGCTGTCTGCTCCCTAATGAGGCATTTGTTCATGAAGACAACCGTTTTGTCAGTAGGATACAAAAATTCTATACATCATGGCAGGGACCATAGAGATCTCTCCACCCAGCCCCCAACAGCAGATTTCACTCCCTGGTGAGCATGTCTGAACTGGTACCTTTTACAAAGATGGGACAATTAATAACTAGACAAAGAATCAGTTCTTCTGTGCATCACCAGATTCCTCTCTCTGCTCCATTTAATCCACATTTAGAATTACCAGCCCAGATGTTTGGTCTTCCTCATATACACTGAAACCTCTTCCACTGGATGTCTAGTGTTCTGTTCACTGTTCAACCACGCTATAAAGCAATGCCATTAAGATGGAGTAATCCCCACAGAGATTAATATTTCACTGGCTCCTAGGATCGATGAGTGTGGTTACCAGGTGATTGTTAGCACAGGTTTCAGTAGGGGTCTCACTGGAAATGCAGTCTCCTTGATTTGCGATGTGCAGTAACTCAAATGCATTCTACAGCGACTGGCAGTAGAGGAGAGTACACACATACTGGCTTCTAAGAAAATTCAGCAGGGAACAGATGGTGCTTAAAATGAAAAATCCTCTTGGACTGACGGAGTCCCTTAACAGGCCTAGGTCTGGAGACATTAGCTGCAGATCCTGTACAAATATTCTGTTCATCAGAAGTGATATGGAAATTTAAATCAAATGCTAGATTCATTAGGAATGTGCAAGAAGCCTGTATACCCCTCCCCTAGGAGATGGAGGACCCAAAGTGAGACAAAGAACACAAGATGCAGAGATTCAGCAAAGAGTGCAGCAACCAACACAACCCACCCGACCCACATTAAAATGTGCCTGGTTCTTTTAGGCTGAAGTGGGACAGCAAAATCTGAAAGCTTTGCCTTTCCTGGCCTAAGATGTTATTTACTGTGCTATTTGAAAGGACACTCTCTCAAGTAGCTTAAACCAAAAATGGTGTCACAAAACCTGGGATTAATAGGCATATTTTTAATACAGTGCCACTGTAAGCGTTTTTCTCTTTTACATTTAAACATTTCTCTGTAGTACAAGCCGCACGGTCAGTGCCTGACAGACAGGAAAGGAGACGGCTATAGTTTAAATGCAGAAAAATAAAGCAGAGAGAACATTCACTTTCTATAGTCGAGGTGTCACTAGTAATTAGTCGGTAACGTTGGGATTGCAACAACTCAAACAGGTCACTGAACAGCCAGCAAATCTATTTTATATATCAAATCTATCTACTTATATGGCCCCCATTACTGGGGCATAGGAGCATCTCACCATCTTTAACATCCTCAAATCACCCCTGCGAGGTAGGGAAGTGCTATTATTCCCATTTCACAGGTGGGACACTGAGGCACAGAGAGATTAAGCTTTTTGCTTAAAGTCACACAGTCTGTAGCAGAGCAGAGCATTGAACCTAGGTCTACTAGGCAAGCACCCTAACCACTAGACCATCCTTCCTCTCATAATCAAATGGAAACTTTTGGTTACTACCCATCACAGCTTGGGGGCGGGTAGGGGAAGGTCACACCAACATCCTAGAAGGGCTCCAATCCCCTGAGCCATTAAGTCTCCTTTTGTCTGTGTCTTTCGCGCGCACACACACACACACACACACCCCTTACTATCAAAATGCCTTGCCCCCAGCCCTACGGAGAGCGACGCCTGGATTCCCATCATGAAACTCTCACAGTGATATTGCCAACTTGAAAATCCCATTTCTGTCTCAAAGTTGTCCCTTATTATTGTTACAAATGACACCTAAGAACACTCCATGTGAAAAAGATTCCAGGAAAGTGTTGGTCCTCTCAGGTTATTTCACTTTGTGCATAGTCTGTTTCACTGATTTCCTGTATAGCTGCTAGTCAGTTTCCCCGGTTTCTGTGAATCTTTCAGACAGCCATGAGAAAGACAAAAATTGAAAACACTACCATAGAAATAGGATTGAAAAACCACACCGATTGGTAGGGAGAGCTCCGGGTAGGCAGGGGTAGGGCACCAAACTGCTTTTAACTCCTATTTTGAAATCAACTCAATTTCAAACTGATGGCACCCCTTTAAATTTTGAATCCATTTGGGGGCTGGCACTTTTCACACAGACTTTGTTCTTCTTTTCTCACTTGATTTATTTCCTCAGAGTAAAAAAAAAATGAATAAAAAGTCTAGAGAGCTGTAAGAGGGAAAACAAGGTCCTTTGATCGTTTCTCCATCATCCGAGCTAGAGACATACATCTAAGACAGGGGTAGGCAACCTATGGCACGTGTGCCAAAGGCGGCATATGAGCTGATTTTCAGTGGCACTCGCACTGACCGGATCCTGGCCACTGGTCCAGGGGGCTCTGCATTTTAATTTAATTTTAAATGAAGCTTCTTAAAGGTTTTAAAACCTTGTTTACTTTACATACAACAATAGTTTAGTTATATATTAAAGACTTATAGAAAGAGATCTTCTAAAAATGTTAAAATGTATTACTGGCACACGAAACCTTAAATTAGAGTGAATAAATGAAGACTCGGCACACCACTTCTGAAAGGTTGCCGACCCCTGATCTAAGACATTTATGACAGTCAGAAATAAGGCTCTTTCCTCTATACGGCCACATGATCTCTGTGTCAGTAGGCTCCCCATGCCCACCAAAGTAGTCACTCAGAGGATCTGTGTGGCACGCTGAAGGGAGCAGGCTGCAGGTGGAGGGAAACATTCAGTGCTGAGTGTTTGCATGCAAGTCTTTGAGAGTCAAACTGAGCTGGTGGGGTCACAATGGTGTGACCTCCAAGGCACTAAGGGCTTCATTCTACACCACTGCAGTCAATGAGAACTTTGCCATTGATTTTGATGGGTGCAGAATTAGGTCCTAAGTGAGTGTGGGAAATGGGGTGGGAGCAGGGAATGCTGGAAACACTTGGAAGAAGCTTGCCGAAGTGGGATCTGGCTACTTTCATGGCTAGTGGCATCCATAAACGAACAGCTGTACGTAACCACAGCATCCAGTGTTGGCCATCGGTAGAGACAGCAGATACAGCTGGCCAGACCCTTGGTCTGACCTGCTTTGACAAATCTAATGTACGCTATTTGGCCTAAGTTATGGATGTTGTGTTCATGGAACAGAGAGATCAATAGCCAGGCAGAATGACAGCATGTGCTGTGCAAGCTTCTTGCCAATTCTACCAATGCATCTCGATTTTGCCCTACAGCAGACCCTGGTAACCATGGCCTGGGCACCCACACAGGTCTGCACCTCAGTCCTAGCCTGCAGTGCCCCCAAGCCTCTCCTGAGAGGAGCCTGCCAATTGTGTTAAATTCGGTGGCAGTTTGTGATGTGCACAGAATGGGGATAAGGAGGAGGAGGGAGACCCTTCCAAATGAGTTTTCACTGCTGAATCTAAGCAAGGAAGTAAGCCCCTGGGCTTTACAGGTGAATGGCTGATGCACCAACCCCACTGGGCCACACACCTCTTGCTAATTCCCTGTAGGAAGCCAGCACAGATCTGCACTGTGACCTTCCTGGAATACAGATGCCTGAAAGGAGCCACCCTTGCGACATACAGCGCTCTCTAGACTGGGAAGGTGAGCAGCCTGCAGCCTGTCCATTGCCAATCCAGGCTGCTCCGGGGCACTGTTCTCTCCCACACCCTGCCCACGTGGGGGCTCACTCCGGTATGTAGTCCCTGAAGGAGTTGAAGCTGAGGCTCCGGCCGCCAGAGTTTAGGGTGGAGTTGGCTTGCATCTTTGGAATCTTTTCCATCAGCTTAGACACGGCCCTCCTCTTGAAGGAGCCCGGGGAGAAGTGCCCCTGTCTCATCAGCTCATTATACAGGGTGTTGAACACCACCACGGTCTCTTCGTAGCTGTCCCTGGTGGAGATCTCGTAGAAAGGATGCTTCAGGGCTTTGGAGAGGTTCTCGCCATCCTCACAAGACACCATCCGGTCAAACTGCAGGTCCTTCTTGTTGCCAACAATCACCACGGGCGGCTGGTCACTCCCGCCGCTCCGCTTGGGGCTCGAGTGGATGTGGTTGATGAGGAAGCACAGCCTCATGACCTCGTCGAAGCTGCACCGGTCAGTCACAGAGTACACCACGGCAAAGCCGTCCCCCCACTTGATCTTCTCCTCGATCTGCAAGGAATCTTCCTCCTAGGGAGGGGAGAACAGAAGTCACAGCATCACCACCTGAGGCAGCTTTTAAATGCAATGAGCTCAAAATGTTTTACCAGCATTGGACCACCTCATGCTTTCACTCCCACTGGGGTCAATGGTAAAACTCCACAGTGCCCTGTAATACCATTCTGGGGTATCAGTGCTGATTCGAGGCCGAAGGGCCACCAACATCAACTCTTGCAGAGTGGTCATTGGAGGCTGACCATCTGAGCACTGACCCAATGTGACCCAGCTTAGCTTGTGACATCGGATTGGCAGCAGGCCATTGTGCAGTAATAATTAATTTACAGGCAGCCACGCCAGAAAGCCGCTGGGCATCTTAACAGGAAATAACTAAACATGATCACGATGCAACATGCCTCTCGCAAACAACCCTCCACAGCCGTTAGCAAATCAAAGAGTCTGTGTGTGTTCTTGGTGCCTGCGTTTACTCTAGCTCCATAGCCACATGGTCCCTCAAGCTCTATGTGTGGCTTGTGTTTTCATCCTCCCTAGTCTAGCCACAATACTGCTGCTATAGGGCTTGAGCCAAGCCCACTGACGTCACTGGAAAGACGCCCTTTCATGTCTGGGGACTTTGGGTCAGGCCCCAAGCCACCTTCCTCACCCACTGCTCTGACCATGTCGCCTTCCTCTTCCCAGCCCCTGAACTGGCTTCCTGCCTTTTACCACATTGAGTTCAAGGTCCTTGTTCTCCCCTTCAAGGCCCTGCATAATCTCACTCCCGCCCACAATTCCACTGCTATTTCCTTTTCCTCTCTGCACTCCTCAAAATCACTTAGTGTTGCTGCCTCCTTGGTCTCCTTTGCCCACCCTCTGGCTTCCCCCCCTTCCTTTGCTCTGTATTTAGAGCAGCCTTCCACCACTGGCAAGCCATAGGCCACCCTCTCTGTCCTTTCAACTTCACCTCTGCTGCTGCTGAGCTGTTGCCTGGCAGGGACGGGGGCTTCTCGTATGTCCTGTAAAGTGCAATGTACATTTACAGTGTGCTGTTAAAAACAGCAGCAATGCCCAACGGGGTCAGGAGGTTGGGTTAAAGTGGTTAAAGTGGTAAGTATATTTGGGTAAATGTAGACAGGCTGGTCTTAGGTAGCCTGCCTCTGGCTACCCAAAGTGGGGTTATGTGTCCCTCAGCACAGGGGATCACTCTTCTCTTCATCTGTGGGTATTGGGTATTCCCAAACACTGCAGATAAAATGGGGCTGTGTTGTACGCAGCAAAAGAAAAGAGAGAATCAATGGGCAACTACGAATTATGTGGCTGAAATCCCATCAAGGGGTTCTGATGAGGTCAGAAAGCACAAAAGCAAAGCTGGAGTCCCCCAGCGCATCCCTCCCCCATGCCCCAAGATGGAGTCACAGCCTCACCATTCAATATTTCACACATGGGAGAGAGTCCTGGATCTCTGTCTGGCATAAGTGCTGCTTTCAAATCTCTTCTTCCACTGGTGCTGGCTTCCTACGCTGTTCCAGTCAGTGCCCCTCCCTGCCACCCTGGTCTGCTGCTGTCAGATGGCCTTTGCTGGGACCGCTCAAGTGACCGTCCAGCAAGTGCCAACACTAACTGGTTAAGCCTCGTAACACAGAGATGTGCACCGACTACCTCTCAGGGCAGCTGCAGCACATTCCCAGCTGCGATCCATCTGTCCTAACGCACGCATGGGGCCAACACCACCACCACCGACTGAAAAGACAATGCTCCACCCTTGGGACCATTTCTGGTTAGTATTTTCTGACATTGATTGCCCATTAAGCGGTGACCGTGACCATACCTGTCCTGCTGTGTCAAGAATCTCAAAGTGCACCATCTCCCCATCGATGACAGCCGTGTGTCTATAAATCATTTCTGTAGGAAACAAAGATGCATGAGAACTCCCTGATCCCTGCACAGAGCATGAGTGGATTCCACTCCACACAGTCAGGTGAAGAGCTAAATGAGAAGGCACAGATGACACAGAAGGGGGACTCAGAAATTCTCTGCTCACTGAAAAGAGTCATCAGCCTGCCCATGACACAGTAACTGCTTGACACACCAAACTGAACAGGCAGACTCTGAGCCCACTCTTGGTGCCCCCAAAGCTAATGGGGACTTTGCCAGTGACTTCAAAAGGGAACAGGGTCAGGACCTTTCCTAAAGGAAACACTGTCAGAGCGCAGCCTTCTCAGTAAAGAAAACATGACACACAGAAGTGAACAGTGCAAAAATCTGCCATCTTTCCTTCCACACATGGTTCTCATATCAAACGCCCAAACCGCCCGGGAGTTTAGCATAAGCAGGTTCTGACAAGTCTTATTAGTTCATCTTCACCCAAGGGCATCCCTCTGTTGTCTGAGATCTAGAAGGTGATAACAGAGCGTGTTGGGTCAGAGGAAGGGACTTGCATATCCTGTACAATCTTTTTATACATAAATCTGTTTGTGTGGCACGTGTTTTGGCAACACTTTCCTAGCTCCTTTTCCTATTTGTCAAAGACATCTGTGTTTTAAAGACTGTTTTCTCTCTTGCAACCCACCTTTGCCCCCAACCCTTCGCCCCGTCCTGCGGGGAAGTCAAAAGGCTAGATTTCTGTTGTCACAGCTAATTCCGTGACAACCAACTGTAATGCCACACAAACAGGACAGTGATGCCACTACAGGATCAAGCAGCCCTGGCACTTAAGGGAGAAAAGCTCTTATTCAACAAACACAAGTATCTTCAGTAACAGCCATGGGAGCACAGAAGCATCTCATTCAAATCTCATTCCTTTATGCCCACCTGTCAATGCCCTCGCCCCCAAAAGCCCTGACTACATTAGAGAGTAATATCAGTGTGTGTATATAATCCAATTGATCTAACTCCTATTGCGTTTGTCTACAATGTAAGCGCAGCACTGTTGGAAGGTTTTGCCTTACATCCAGAGTGGCACTGTTTTGTATTGGTTGTGATATGCCACCTTCTGGGTATGGGTCCCAGAGTTCCCGGCACTGCTCCCTGGTGTGCTGCATTCTGGGTATTTTTTCTGCAAGGACTGGTGCAGCTTGGGATCGCAGTGGGAGAGCTATCTGCACTGAATTTTTTTCCATTTTCAGCACACGGAAAGTTGAACCATCCATGTGAGATTCCTGTGGTGCTTCTAAGTCCTCTGGAGATGGATCCCATCTGCCCCAAACTAGCCCCACAGGTGGCCCTGGCCTCATATGCAAGGCCATTGAGCCAGGGACACAGACAAGGAAGTAAAGAAAAAAATCCAAGCCACATCAGCAGACTTTGTGCCATTGGCAATGCAAGGGTGGGAGAGACAGCAGTGATCAGTGGTTACAGACTGCTAGGAACAAAAGGGATAGGAAGAGAATGAGGGCGATTTCATTGCCAACAAAGAGGGACTTAAAAGCTATCAGAGTCCTTTCAAGCTATTTTTAAAAATAGCTAAATTTTAATACTGCTGTTCAGCCCCACTGGCGCTGCTAATCCACACCCTCTAGCTTGCCTACATTCCGGCTCATATTACACAGAAATAGGATAGGAGGAGATCTTGCTTTTCTAAACAAGAGATAAAAGTTGCACTGATGCTTGTATCTGTACTGGTTTTTCAACATAAAATATGGAGTGAAATGCTTAAAGCCTCACTAATATCTCCAGGAAATAAATCCCACAACATCTTGCTTAGCAACAACTCGGGGGGGCGGGGGGAGGGGAAGAGGGAGGGAGAGAGAGAGAGAGAGATATCTCCAGGATTTCTCTTCCCCATTCCTTATTAATAGAAATATGTGTATGAAAACAGGATATTTGCCCCTCCAGAGTCTATATCTTCTTGCTTCTGATTCCAAGAGACAGCATGGTCCAGTGGATGGATCACAGGGTGGACTCAGGAACACAAGTGTCATGGGAGCTGCTGGATACTTGGGACTTTTGAAAATCAGGCTCTTACTTGGGAGACTACAGATTTAGGGGTCTACCTTTAGGTGCCAAGTTTTGAAAATCTTGGCTTTGAATGCTATTCCTGCTTCTGCCATTCATCATTGGGATAATACTTGCCTACGTACCTTGTGACAGGGTGTTGTGGATGTTAATTAATGTCTGTCAAGTGCTATCAAGGCTGAGCATTATTTCCCATTTGTTGGTGTCGTTTTCTGGTTTGTGACATCGCAGCTGTTGAGTCTTTGACCCTGCCCCAGTGACTGTAACCTTTTCCTCTGGCTGCCCAAGTCTGTTCACACAGCTGCTAAAGCCATCTTCCCTCCCAGCCCACCTGCTCCTGTCCCTGAATCCCTCCATTGGTTCCGCACAAAACTCCACTTCATCCTCGCCTTTAAGCTTTGTTAAATCTCACCCCACTTACCCCTCTGCTCCCAATCCCCCCAGGTTCCGGTGTTCTTCCCAGTCCTCCTCATTTCCCTTTCTCCCCTATTCCTTTCTCTAAGTCTCAGACTTTCAGGTACACTGACCCCCTCCTGCCCAGTTTCTCCTGTCTTATTTGGATTGTAAGCTCATTGGGGCAGGGAACCAGCCACATTTTCCGCAGCACCAGGTATATTTATGGCACTGTTTAAATATTTGGTTACGTTACAGAGAGCAACTCCAAGCAAGGGAATAAGCAGCAGGCAGAGGGGAACTCCCAAAGGAAAACAATTTACTTTTGTACTAAACATCTCTAGTCTTAACAAATGTGGGAAGCAAACTCAAGAAAGTAAAGGACGGACAGGGAATTAGCAGGGTTGTTTGATCTGAGTTTTCCACTAGGGATCAGCCATTTCTTCAATGAAATGCAGCAAGGCTGAGAAATTTCCAGGACACCCCCCACCCACCAAAAAACCCCACACTTGCACATGAAAACACTGTCCAGTGAATAACATGGACTCGACATAATGACCTACATTTACAGTGACTAGTGGTTTTTGGGTGCCCAACCTGACACACCATTCAGTGGGCCTGATTTTCAGAAGGAGGGTGCTCAGATTGGACACACCCAAATATGAGGGCATTGGAAATCTCTCGGCCCTTTTGGCTCTGTGCGCCGAAAGCCTCTCTCCCCAAAAAACAACCCTGAGGCCAAACTGCTTCCAGATTACTAAGCTTATATTTAATAGAGCAGTTACTATTCTTTGTACAGCATCTAGCGCGATGGAGTCCCTCAGCCTCACCGTAACACAAATAATAATAATAATAATATTAAATACTTGCTTACCTAGAGTAGGGTCATAATCCCCAATGAATCTCTTGGTGATGAATCTCACAGTTAGAGCTGCATTGGAGAAAAACAAAACAACCCTCCCTTAAAAGTCAGTTGTGATCAACAAAGCAAACTCAGTAAAACACTGATTAACTGAGACAGGAGGGCTCTGATGAGTTTGCTCCTCTCTGGAGTGAGGACACCCTCCAATCCGGAGCACAGGCTGATGGCGGCATGTCCTGCTGGGCGCTGCACAGGCAGTGGGAGGAGGCTTTTGATCCCAACCAGGTATACTAGTACCTAGGTTGTGAGCCAGTCAGGATCTCTGAAGAAGCTACTCCAAAGCGTAACCACGAGCATCAGTAAACATTGTGTAACAAACAAATAGAAAACAAAGTCTCTCTCCCGCACCTGGCAATGCTGCCACCTGAAAAGCTATGGGGCAGGGGAGAGCATATTAAAATGGCAGATTGGCCAAGTCCTACTTCCAGTATGCTGGGAGTTTGAAGGCTGAAAACTGTAAGACTTACAGTAGACAGACTGGAAAGGATCTGAGGGTAACTTTACATTGACCAGCAAGCAGTTCGCTGCCCAAATCCAAAGTCGGGACTTGCCAGTGTGTGAACAGAAGAGCAGAGACAGCCTGAGTGGGCCTCTCTGCACCCTGATTACCAGAGGAACTAACTAGAACTAAGAGGTAGCCTAGCTGCTTCCAACAGAGAAGTTCACAATATAGCCAACAGTCTGTTCTCCTGAGTGGTGGATGAGAACTGGGTCGGCATTGCCCAGAGTTGTTTTTCTATAGGAGCCGCTTTACAAACACAGATCCCCAGAGCAGAGGTCAGATGTCTTTCTAAAGGATATGCTCTAGTTCAATCGCAGATTGCTGGGCTGAATGCAGGAGTCCCTGGGTATAATTCCATAGCTCGTGCAATTCAGAAAGTCAGATTGGATGATCATAACTGTCTTTTCTGGCCTTAAAATCTATTGAAAGTATCTAGCCACACAGCAACACAGATGGACTAAATTCTGGCCTAACTTACACCCTGGGCAATCCTATTGATTTCAGTCAGAAATGTATTTATGGGGTGCTTCATAGTGCTTCTCTTAACCCTTGCATTTGTGCACAAATATTTCCCTCACGCCCAGATGCAATATCAACAGAAAATGAACCTGAGTCAATATACAGCAGTACAGTGGCATTTGACAAGTTCCCTAAGAGCAGAGAGATCACAGAGACCCAGAGCTTCTGCTTGTCAGCAATTTCACATGCTTCCTATTTCAACACCCGGTCCAATAGTGCATGTCACATTTTAAAATAACATTTCATAGCTAACCCTGAGGAGTCACATTGATTTCAATGGAGAGAGGTTTTCACCCACAGATTTTTAAGACCAGAACAGACCATTACGAGCACTCTAGTTGACCTCTTGCATAACACAGAATTTCAGACAAAAACTCCTGCCCTGAATCTTATACTTTACGACTGAACAAGAGCATATAATGTAGAAGCAGTCAGAGACTGTTCTGGTGAGCACTCTAAAATACAGGTCATCATAATCCAATATGCTTTTCTGTATGTGTGATACTTGCAAACAGTGCTTTGTGGCCCCGATCCTGCGTGTGCTTAACTTTATGCACAGTGAGTAGGAAGTGACTTCAGTGGGGCTATTTACTGTGCATGAAGTGCAGCATGTGCGTACGCTTTGGCAGGACAGAGGGATCTTGATGTATCACATCAGCCTAGATGACATAACTGTGCAGATATCCCGCCCTTCCTGGATCAATCTGATGAATTTCCAATACTGTTTATTGAACGTTTTATTCTCAAGTTAAAAATATCAAACGCAAATTGTATCATCTTGTATATTCACATTCAATAGGTCAAAGGCTCAGCACCACAATAGTTGTAAAATGAGACAAGTGCCACCGCATTTGTATTGGATTTCAGAAATTAGAGGAGCTTGGCAAACAAAGAGGGGAAGATAGTTCAAAGCTAGGTTCTACCTGTACTCGGGCAGTATCCTTTTAAAATGAGACATACAACAAAACGACTATTAAAGAATATTTATGTTTGAGAACATAGTGGAGGGTGGGGAAGAGCAAGACAGAAGGGCCAATACAAGGAACAGCTTGAAATGTGGCCCAGACCCTTTCTCCTCACTCTCTTGTTTGCTGTCACTTACCCCTCACATGCCACACGTATGCTGCATTTATGCCTGGGAATGTCTATCCCCGGCACAGGGCAGGGATGTTGCTTTAGCGTGACCCTTCCCTACCTAGGCTTCAGAGGCCAAGCTCCAGCGCGAGCTGCAACTTCAAAGCACTATCTGCACAGCTTTCTTTAGAGCACCAACCCCAACCCCGCTAGCCCGAGCCTGTGGACCCAGGCTCGAAGGCTTGCTCCTGCCCACCCCAAAATGCTACATAGGCCCCCAGGGGGAGTTTGCTTTAGCCCTTCACAAATAACTGGATGGTGGTTGTGAAAATGTCTTTTTTCCCTTTTGTATTTCCCAATCAGGCAGGCCCGGAAGCAGTAACAGAGATCAAATCGTTCAGTCAAGGGCGTTGGGTGGGAACAGCCACAGAAGAGGAATGTACACAATTAAACCATTTTATCCAAGCATCCAATCTCCCTGCAACAGGGGGGCAGGAGGCCCAAATCCTTTGTGTCCAATTTAATGCTCAATTGAACCAGGACAAAGCCTAATGCTGGAGCACTGGGCCAGTAGTTCCATCCCAACACTGCATCTGCCTAGTGCTTAATTTGTAATGAAAGAGGTGCCAGGGCTCAAGCAATTTTTTTATATTCATAACTGATGCAGCAAGCCCGGAGGTGCCTGGCTATGAACTGCCAAGCCCAGAGGTGCCTGGGCTCAGCCCTGACAAGCCCTGGCACAAATTAAGCATTGCATATGCCCCTTTCTCCCTTCCTCTGCCATGGAGAAGTACTGGCTTGTGATGTATCTTCCGCATTCGCTCTGAGCAAGCCAGACTAACCCCAAAGCAGCCTCGAGAAAGGAACAATCCTCGAGGGAGGCCACCCAAGTGAAATGACAGGTTTGTAAAGGTGAAGTACAGCGGGCTGGGAACTAAATAAATGCCTCTTCAGAGTTGGCTGCAATGGGTTACTAGGTGACAAGGCTAGTCTCCGGGTGAGGCAGATGTCCTCTGGAGATTCCTAGAGAAATGCCCTCTCCAGCGGTGGGGAGAACCAGACCCTTGCTCACCTGCTTACACGGATCGAGGAGGCTCAGTTGGCTACAGTCCAGGAGCATTTGGGAAGGAGAAGGAAAGGCTCTTTGTAAAAAGTGAGCAATTGCAGTGCTGAAGTCCTGGAGAGTCAAACTCTGCCTTTTGCCATAGAACAGGGGCAGGGGCAGCAGCTGAGGTTCAAGACGTATTGACTTACTACTAACCGTGCAAATACAGAGTTCAGCACAGAAACACACCAGACAGCCAGAGGCAGAAGGTATAGAAAGTTAAGTGGGACACTAAAGACTCGCTCCATCTGGGAAAGGATAATTACCAGGGCACTAAGGTCAAGAATGTAGGTGGTGTTGTGGACACAGGCAGCCATGCAGAGGTGGTGGGTGGGGTCTTGTTGGTGAAAGAAGGCTGCGGTTAAAGCACGGATGGAGCAGAAACTGTGTGCTCCAGCCATTAGGGAATACAGTTAGACAGATTTCCCACGGTGAAAGAGCCACATGAATCAGGAATTATGGGTCACTGAACCAGAAAAAACAATGTGGCTGGGAAGTGACTGAGCAAACACAAAAAGGATTTTTAAAGGGCCCTGATTCTACCTTGTCTAGACTCAGAGAGAAATAAGGGTCTGCTCCTATATTATTCAATGGCAACACTCCCATTGGTTTCAATGGAACAGGAGTGTACCCTAAAAGTTGGACACACATCATACCGCGCTCAGAACACCAACAACATTCCAGCTGATAAGGAAGGAGCCATGCTGGAGCTCTTGGGAGGGAAAAGGGTTTCACTTTATCCAGGGATGAGAAATGGACTCCTGCTTTGAAACAATAAAGTGCACTAGAGCAGTGGTTCGCAACCTTTTCTGAGACCACTGCACTAGGGAACTTTTAGTGAGTAGCAGCAGGGTCAACATGGACACAATGCGCAGCCGGTTAATGCAACATAGATTTGCACCCCAGGTTGCCATGAATTGAGCATTCGTTTAGACAAGCCCTTATTCTATCAGTCCATTTTACTTTGAATACTCTATGCAGACACCTGCATTAAAAAGTTGTTCAGTTTGCATTGGATGGACCTATTATTTTTCCAGGACTCTAGTCCATATATCAGGACACTTAGGAAGTTGCTTCTAAAGATCTTAGTTAAGTATTTTTGCAAATCACACTGGACTTCCATACTATAGGGCAATGTTTCCCAAACTTGGGATGCCGCTTGTGTAGGGAAAGCCCCTGGCGGGCCGGGCTGGTTTGTTTACCTGCTGCATCCGCAGGTCCGGCCAATCACGGCTCCCGCTGACCGCGGTTTGCTGCTCCAGGACAATGGGAGCTGCTGGAAGCGGCGCGGGCCAAGGGACGTGCTGGCCGCCGCTTCCAGCAGCTCCCATTGTCCTAGAAATAAAGTACTTGCTTTACCTATTCTGGACTTTACATCAAACACAATCACCAGTATTGTGTATGAGGCTACCCAGATAAATAAATTTCTTAACAGTTTTCCAAGCAGATAAAATAATTGATAGGTAAATTAATTTTCATAATTTTGGTCTTCAATTTATTGATAAGACGCATTTTCTTGGCAGGATTTGCAAGATCATTTCTCTGTTGCTACTAGGGTTTCCACCTTCCACAAAAAAGCGGGACATCCAAACCATTTCATCCAGGGCAGTTACCTCAAATGAGGGACAATCCTGGAAAAACTGGGACAGGTGACAAGACAACTTATAGATTTCCCAGGAAAACTACCTCAAAAGAGGGATGATTCTGGGAAAGCCTGGACAGGTGGCAATCCTATTTGCTGCATATCTTCAATTATTTTATTTATAAGACAGATACAATCTGCCAAGTCTACAACTCAAATCTCACCAC